ATAAACCAAATATTATACACTTTGTATAAATAAGTTGACAAATTTTCGAATTCGGTTAGACTTTAGTTAGTAGTAGTTAGACTTTTTTTAATTTGATAGCTGGAAATTTATTTAATATTAAAACATATAATTTTTTTAATTGTTGCGTCTTCAAATAAGAACGGAAACTTTTTCCAGTCAGTTCAAGGCACAAGACCCTGCTGTGCATGTGTATTAAGAGAAAATAAGATTAATATATATGTATCTACGAGTATACATGCATTTGTAGGTATGTAAGTGTGCAACGGTCACTACTGCTGTTATAAAAGAGTCTGTGGCAGCCGATAAATTGATTCTCGTTATACGCACCAATACCGTTCTTTTGTGTAAATGTCACTAACAAACGTAAGAACATGTGAAGTCATTTTATTGGCGAATACGGCAACGAGAAATCGGTCGCAAGCAACTCCACAACAAATGACAATTCTCATTCTATATTTTATATACTACGATATACTACGTATATACAGGCATTTAGATATATATTTACTTCAGCTTGAGTGGGTCACACTCAAGTCGCCATTCTCAAACTCTAGTTGTTTAAATGGATGTGTTTGCTTTTGCACACGTGTGCGCCTAGCCAAAATGGCTATCACAGCAAGTTGATCTGGCAAAAGTTGACTAAAAATATACACAACATATGGCACACATATGTATGTATGTATGTATGCATGTGCTTATACTGCTATTGACATTATTGTAACCTTTGCAGCGCTCATTGTTTGCTATTGTGCGGCTGTTTACAACTTATTTAGTTTTCTGCCAAGACTAGACATTGCGGGTGCAGGCAAGTGAAGCAGCAGGTGCTCACGAGCAGACTTATGCAAGTTAATGAGACAATACACATTTAAATTTTTGAATTTGGTAACTTTTGTAATGTGCAGTGTGTATAGCGGTTTTTGATACGTGGACTTAGTTTTTTTTTTGGGGGTTTTATGGAATCATATAGCTTTAAGCTTCCAAAAAATTGTGCACTTAAGTGCACTTTCAAATCTTCAACCATATTTAAGCACAAAGTGAAATTATTAGAAGTTTCAGCATTAAAGTTTCAGCTGTCTGGAATTTTCATATATGTGCTTAAATACACATATGCACTTTTATATATTATATATACTACAAGATGTAACACTTAATATCGCTAACATAAAAGCACACTCAGCATCGCCGTAATTTGAGCAGTCGTCCAATATTCGGTTTCATATGTATGCATGTATATTGTACATGTTCCTTTGCTGCTTTATATGCACAGCGGCTTCTAATTTCGACATATCTGCTGCGAATCAATGTTTCGAAACATTTTTTACGCGTGTGCGTATCATCACTCAACGAATCTAATTCTTTGGAAAAGTGATAGAAATTGCTTGGATTACCATCAGATTTCTGGACATATTAATTTACATACATATACGAGTATACATATCTATACATGAATATTTACTTTTTCTGCTGCCGAAAAAGTTTGCTTGCAAATCGACGCTTATTTGTGTGGGAATTAATGTCAGTTTGGTCTGCTTTTTTGGCTTGAAAGTCTGGCGTATTTATTGTAGCTACTTAATCGCACATTGAAGAAGTTACGAAATGTTGAAAGTGTTTTATTTCACTTGAGCAATGTGCGGGAATTTGCAAATTATTTTGGCTTACTTGCTGATAAATGGGCTTTAAGTTGCATTTTTTTTTTTTTTTTTTTTTTTTTTTTTTTTTTTTTTTTTGGCAGCTGAGAAGGAGATTTTAGGATAAGGGATAAAAAAAGATAATTCTTTGAAAAGTTGGGTTCTGCTTAACGAAAACACCCAAGGAAGACTTCCAAAACGATAAAAAAATTTTATAATGATTGTAATAACAAACTCGTAAAATTAACTCACCGGAGTTCCTTTCTAATTCAACATTTCTGCCAAAATAAAATAGTACTTTAATTACACAATACTCTTCAATATTTACTCACGTATATCTGCGACCTAGGAGCATTTAAGCTCTTGTAATATTTCTAAGCTCTTACTGACCTTTGTGTTGGCCTATATAAGCATGTAATTATTCTCATATCTCTACTTAAGGGGAATGTTATGGTATCGATGATTCTTATTTGTAAATGCATAAATTAAGGCCAAAATTCGACGTGCCTTTCTGTCCGCCTACAGGCAGTTAAGTAAGAAACCACAAGCAAATATTTTACCGAAATTCAGCACAAATATATACACATGATCTCATGTATTAATTCCCAGCTATAAATCTTAAAAGTAGATCGGAAAAATTCCAATCAAGAATTTTGTGTCTCAAATTGATTATAAACGTTTTTAGAAAGTTGGTTCAAGCATATGCAATTTCAACTTTGAAATAAAAATTAAGATTAGTTTCTCATTATAAGATATACACCAGTCGATAAGTCGATTTGTAACAAGTAAGGAATTTCTATATAGCTGAACCAAAGTAGACTGACAACTAGTAGAACAAAAACACGACAGTTGTTGGTTAAAGTTGCCATTTGCTGTCTACTTGTGAAATGTATAGTAGCTGTAAGGAAGGCAAGTTTGTAACTAGTTGCTTTAACTGCTGGGTATGTGTGGCCGTAAGCATGACATTACTTGTGTGCGTTATTGACCAACTTGGTCAGTTACACACTCACTTCGTGGTCATTCTTCATTCTATTTTATCTTTGATGTGCACAAAATGGGAAATCGAATAGGGGTTCATACGCACACAAATACACCCTCCAATATATATATTTTTGTGTATTGATATATCTGCTTATGGGTTGGAATGTTTGCAAATGCGTTGTGAAAATTGTTTACCACTGAGACACGTTGCGGTCATAAGTCTATAAGTCGGTATTTAGCAGATAATATATATATTTGTATATGTATATATGTATGTGTGCTAAAGCACGAAGGTACGTTTAGATAATAGTAGCATTGTTTTTGTAATATGTCATATAACCAATATATACCAAGAAAAGGAAACAGAAAGCACCAAATAGTTGCAATTTATGAGTTTAGTGACAAAACTCGTAGTTCTTAGTGAGAGCGGTGAGAAAAGGAGGACAAAATAGCAAATCTAGTAAAAGTCATTGAATATTCATTTTATGTGGGTTTCGAACTTACTGACAGAAAAATAAGAAATTAAACTAAAGTTGCAAGTTCTATCTAACTGAACACTAATATGAATGTGGAATAATACAAAAGCATCTCGATTCCAAAATCCAAAAATGCCGATCGAACAGTGTCCAGTTAGAAGTCCCAAAAACATTGGAAATTGGACTCTGCTGAGGGCGAAGAGTTCACTAGAACTAAAATAGCTCTTATCTATGAATCCTGTGCTTTCCAAAAATCTTTTATTTTCAATTTTGTTAACCACCTCCCTTACTCTCAAATGTATTACTGTTAACAAATGATTTCTTCGGATTCATAAAATGTTGCACGAAAATTTAGTATCCTTTTTTTAATATGCTTTTTCTACCTAACAAAACAAAATAAATATTTGAATTGAATTACAAAATTTCTTACTCATTTATAGAGAAAAATATTCATTCATACCTATATATGCATATATATTATATATATAGTATATATGTTTGCAGCTATGTACATTTAGACAATTTGTATGCGTAATATTGTCTAGATTGGGAAATCGTGATAGGCATGCAACATGGCATATGTGACGTGCCTAGCTGTCCTATGGCAGGTGGAATATCGCATATTTATTTCGTCTCTATGGGCTTACTTGACTTTTACACACGCATTTCCACTGCACATAAGTGGAAATGTGTTATGTGTGTAGACTTTTAAGTCTCTTTCTGAAATGTGACACTTTTAAGGCACAAAGTCAATGAACGAGAGAGATAAGGGTAAGTGGCATATTTCCGTAGAACTTGCGTACCAATTAGTATGTAATTCACAATTCTGCACTCATGCAGCTGACAGGCTGAAGTTCACAGAGGTGGCCAAAAAATGTCAGGTAACTCTGGTTGTGAAAATAAATTTAGATAGAAAAGATTTAAGGTTTTCTTGTTCTGAAATGCAATTGTGAATTTAGGGAAAAATATTTTGCAATTTATCCCATATATAGTATACATCGGTTAGCAAGCACATGGTATGTTTAATTGTGAGTTTTCCAAGCGACGTCTGCAGGGGCTGCTACCTGCTTGAGTTTCGCTTGTTCAGGAAAAATGAAGAAAGGAAAAATAGGCGAACCCAAATTAATCAGTTTAGGAAACTGTCAGGTAGAAATATTTTTGGGGAGGGTTGCCACATTTTAAAATATCTTCAATAAATTAAATTAACTAAGTAAATTAACTATTAGAATATGCCTCCCAAATTAATGAGATTTAAATAGATTGCAAATAAAAATATGTTATGTGGATGATGCCACCTATTTTGTAATCTTGAGACAATATAAATTATTTAATCAAGGAAATATAGTGTAATTAAAACATGTTTGGGAATGGTTGGCTTTTAAATTTATTTTTTTTTCGTTCAAAAAATTAAATAAATACGTGTATGAGAGAATAAAATATAAACAGATTTAATTGCGTTTTTTGTGACAGAAGTTCAGAAAGTTTCTTAAACAAGTTTCGCTAAATTTAGTTTTATAAGGCTAACATCGAACTAAAAGATTTTAGTAAGCCAATACTCTGAAATTTCTATTCAAATTAGACATCAAATTAAACACGTTTCGACATAATATCCGTCAATGTCCAAACAATTTTGAAGTCTTTGTCACCTACTTGAATATATTATTTCTAAAAGTCAATTGTTAAAACTTAAAATTGATCACCATATAGAAAGATATAGTTCACCGAAGTTCGCCGAATTTCAGTGCAATAAAAAAATTTATTAAATAACAATAAGAATAGTGGAAGGAAGTGAATAAATAAAGTGTATTTTTATTCAAATCTATCTTAACTTAAAATAAAATAAAATATTGTAAATAGTACTGTTTGGTTACTAGCATTGTATGTGTATACTCACACTCCAGATTGATTCATTTGAATTTTCGTAGTCTCCGCTCGCATCTTCCTAGCGTACAAATTAAACATGAGGAATTATGAAAGAAATAATAAATAAAACATTAGAATTAAAAAAATTATTAAACAAAATCTCAACAAATAAAGCAAAATGTAAAGAAATTATAAATAAAAAATTATAAAAATCTGGCCACATACCATAAAGCCCGAGCCGCTTCCATAACCTAAAATYTCATTATAGCTGTCATCCTAGGGGGAAATTAAAACAAAACAGGTAAATAAATTTGGTGAAAAAATAGAAAAAATATAAACAGAAGAAAAAATTGAATTAAAAACTTAAAACATTCAGTTTCAACCTTAAAATTAAATGAAATGAAAACAAATAGATAATGTCTATTTAAAGCAAAGTTCTAGAATTTAAATTGAGACAATTATGTGGCAGTAATTAAACAGAGCTGCGAATCCACAACTTGCATCAGGTAACGTATACGTACTGTACAACTAATTGTAATACCTAAAGTTGATAGTGGATTAAAATAAAAATGTTTATACAATTTTTTGCGATTTCGGTGACCACAAATAGTATCCTAGAGCAACAATTGTTGCCGCAAAACCAACAAAGTAGTTCATATGCAGCCACGCCTACTCAAACCTTCACACCTCAAGCACGCAGAAAGCCAAATCGCAACAAATTTGAACAATAAATTAACAGTGGCTAATGTATAGCTGATGATTAAACTGCTAACCGCAGAAATTGTGGGCGTGCCCAAGCGTGTGTGTGTGTGTGAATTGCGAGCTTATTAACTTTAATACAAAGTTCGGCGAATCGCGGCATTTGCGGCAACAAAACAAAATTAATGGATTATGTAAAATTAGCCAGAAAACGAAAAATTTATGTTAATTTAATTGTTTTTGCTAAATAATTATTAACTGCATAYATGCGGACTAGCGTAAGTGTGTGCGAATAAAGCGCTGGTTGTTGTTGCTTGTAAAACAATGGAAATATTTTATTGAATTAGCGCATTTCGCGTGCGTCTGCGGGTGTCGAAATTATGGCTTATTCCAAATGGCATTTCATTAMATTAATTTGGAAATGCGCGAATTGCTTACAGATAAGCTTACATATAAGCTCAGCCATATTTTTTGTATTTTGGTGAAACATTTTTTTACAGTTAATTAACACAATTGTAAAAYGAAACACACGCGCGAATTAATGAAAATCTTTATTTGCAAAAAATCGTTGGGAATTTCAATATTTGAAATTATTTTTTGCGAAACTAATTTCGTTAGAATTTTGGTCGGCYGCACATTTTTCCACAATTTATGTGGTGGTGTGCGTTTTAGGCACTCCCGCTTTGATATAATCCATTGTTACAGTTGTCGGAGCGAAAATTTTAATTGCACATTTATATTTGTTTATTGGCGTAATCAAGTAGCGGGAAGTTTGTAAAATAAATTATGCATGTAAATTTATGTGCATTTAGATTATATTATTATAAAGTGTAAAGCGCTATAAATATTGCGATTAAATTTTTTGAAATTTTTTCAATTTTCGCCTTTTTTGTGTGTTTATAAATGCTGTAAATTTAATGAAATAATGATTTGTTGCGTGTTTTCCAGTATTTTGTGTTACGCCCACACATAAAATTAATAATCATATAATATAAATATTATATATTTGTAGGTGTATGCTTTTATATGGCAAAATGGCAAATTTTTATTTCTAAAAAAAAACGCCATTCTAATGAAAAGCGTTACCTTTACAACCAATTGAGTGTAATATACGTGCTTTTTATTCTTCTTTTTCTAATTGCCCACACAAGCGAGCGGAAAAATGATCCAGGTACTATGGTAGGCGCTAACATGTGTTTGTTATATTAAGCAACCACAAAAAAATTTCGGGAATATACAAGTACAAACGAATTTCGCTACAAAAAACATAGAAAAGAGTGAAATATTTGTTTGACACAGTTTTCATATGCACACACCCATAAGCGAATTAAAATCATAAACATTAATGTGTGAGAAGTAAAGGATATTTGGCGGCGTTGTTGCCAGTATTTTATAAAAAAAAAAAAACATTTTTGTTCGAAATGATATCTTTAATAAGTGTTAGTTCAAAAATGGTTACAATTTAAATAGCGTAGTACCGAACTTTGTAGGTTTCTTACTAAGAAAAACTCATAGCTTCAGTAACTTGTATGCTACAAAATTGCAAAATAAAGCATGTATTTTCCACACGCATGGTTTACAATAAGGCAATCCTTTTTTCGACGGCTCTTGCTTAATTTGTACACATTTTAGCTTGTGATATCATGAAAATCATGTAAATTTWTTACTAAAATAACGATTCATCCAATATTAGATCGACTTAATCACCTAGTAGAGTCCATAATTTAAGAAATGGTGGATCGGTTTGTCACCATTTCAACTCTGGCAGAAAAGGGGCATCCCTAGAGACATCGTATAATGCACACCGAAGGAACTCCTTCATTGGGGTAGATGTGGACAGTTGGTCACAATAATACGGCGCTACATGCCATACACCYCACGAAACAATCTATTTATGGAATGCAACTTTCGGTAGACGCATTATCTCGCGTCCTTAGCCTGTGGCGCAGCCTCTAAGATCGTGCGTTTGTACACAGTTGAACTATTTTTTGTGGAATTGTGTGAAATCGCTAGTCTACGCAAATAAACCCGAGACCATTGACGCTTTGGAAGAGATTATTCGACGCGTCACTGCTGACATACGGCCCAAATTACAGAAAAAGCTATCGAAAACTGGAAATTAATCGAGCCAGCCGCTGCACTTGCCTGAACATTTTAGACATACTACAACCCTTTGTCTTTATAATAAAGCTAAGTTTTTGGACATAACATTAAATCATATTTGAAAACCAGTTGTCTAAAAAAAAAAACGTTCTTTACGGCATTAGTTAGAACTTTTAGAATATTATTCAATAATATGGAAACCAAAGCGTTAGTCTACATATACAACTTACTTATGATAACCTCCGTACACCAGATGACCACAAATCCACTTGTCATTAGTTGGAAATAAGCTTGTAATATTTCCAAGGCTTTAATTACTGGCTAGACAAATATCTAGTGCTCGCATTTTGTATTTTATTTCCTTAGGAATTTCTGCCAGGGTTAGTGCACATTCTAAAATGCTATCATTCCATCCCGGAGTCACGCAAAYACATCCATATGTGTATGCTGTGTGGCAATGGCGAAGCACTAAGCATTCATCATGCAATTTGTGATGGCAAAGACAACRGTGCACAACGCCATGGAGAATAGAACACCCACATCAGGCAAGCATAATGGTTTTGCACAGTTTATGAATGGGGTTAAAACAGCGTTTTACATTGTTGTTGTTGTGCTAAATGCTTTGTACAAAATTAAGCATGCAGAATAAGTTCTGAGCTAAATTTTTGACTACACGTCCTTWATTTTTGGCATGGTRCACACACACCAAAACWAAATTTAGGTGAGTTTAAATGGTRCTTTTGCGCGGATAACAGTTAAAGCAGGCAGTATGGTGAAAAATGCAAAGAAAGAACATTTTACTGCTTGACCAAGATTGCATAGTAACAAAGTGCGTGTGAAATTCCGCTGATTTAATGAATATGAACCAAATATTGGCGCTTCTGTGAACAAATTGAGCGTAGGCGATTGAATTTWATTCAAAAATACACAAACTGCCTTTCATAGCCCACAACAACTTGCAAAAGTGTTACGTAACGGCCATTTAGGTGCTGATGGCATAACTTAAACGCCACGCACAACGCTTAGAGATTTTAGACATTTAAACACGCACTCACACGCACACATACACGCGCACCATTTAGGTGTAAGGAGGAAAAAAGCTAACATTGGTATGCRCGGAGTGCATTTAGAAAAAGCGCCTTTTAACAAGAGTTGCGTGGCCTACTTACAGCCAACTTCGTAACAACTAAATACATACACAAGTGTAAGTGGGCTATACACGCTGGAACAAAGCAAGCATTGTTGCTGTATTATGTRTTTAACACAAAAAGATCGACATGGCCCACATACAAGAGGCTGTGCATACAGAGCTACACGTGTATGAGTGTGTGCATAAATCCATGTATGGAAAAAGTCAGTGCGTTAAAGTGTGTGTGTGCGTATATGCGCTGACTTGAGAGTAGAAAAAATGGTTGCGTCGTGGCGAGCAATATCGGTATGACCAGCATTGCCGTTATTTCAGAGTGATAACATACCTACATGCGTTAGTGTGTGTGCTAGTGGTTTTACAGTACGGTRGTTTTTACTTCTAGCTCACTTATTCAAAGACTTGCCGCAAACTGCTTACRTTTGGATGCAAAATGGTACAGTTGAGTAAAGGCGATTGTGAGCTTTGAATATCCATATGCTTATTCCAGACMACCGTACCTTTAAGCATCAAGGGTTAAATCAAGTAATCACATATTTTTCGAAGGCCAACATAAGCCGCTTCTTATGGTTTAATATAATGCGCAAACCACTATACGTGCTTTTCTTTCTGTCTCGAATCTACTTCAGCCGATTTTTAAGACTTAAGTTTCACGTCTACGGAAAGTTGTAAGTGAGCTTATAAACTAAGTGGGCATTAAGGACTGGTGACAACTCAATCTTTTTCAAAAGTTCTAGGTTAAAAAATAAAGTGAGAACAAATATTATGMGTGCAATCTCTAATCAATTAATTGAAAGAAACCTACTGTCTGCTGCCGTCGSGATGAGCTTCAGAGTATTTTTTCGAGAGCAGAGAGCTATACAAGATGTTTGTTCATATTTTGTTGAAAACCATAGAAYTCGATTTCGATTTTTCTAATGGTCCACCTTCCAGTTGTAGGAGCTCTAACTAAACACTGGTCGATCGTGACTCATCCTATAAGATGGAAAATTTTAACGGTTTCTGGAAAATGAGATGGATGCCTTTGGCAGGTCAAGAATAATCCTTCTCTGAACTCATATTTTTAGATSTCATATATTAGATTTTAGACTGAAGGGCTATCGAAATATATATATGGGAAGAAATATTGGGTGTTACTATTGGGCATAGTCAAGAGTTAGTTCCCAATTTTAAGAATTTTCCATCTGGCGTCACACAGGATTGTGCATTAAAGTCTATGTGTAATCCTCCGCCATTTGAGGGATAAGCTTTTAACCCTAAACTAAACTAACCTCTTATGGATCAGTAAGCGTCTCTTTTAATACACCAAATATTCTGTTGAGTCCAT